AGGGCAACAATCCTAAGGCAGGAAGGAACTTGCCACTCAGGAAAAGTAGAAAGCCTGAATGTCTATAGTGTATTGAGTAAGGGAAAGAATAGTACGTGGAGGTATAAAGGTAGGGGCTTAAGGCCATGGTAGGGAACTCTGTGTGGAGAAGAGATCTGAAAGGTGGGTGGAATACGGAAGATCTTTGATAACTCCAATGTCAATTAAATACATTATACTGACAACTCATTAAATGCCTCCTGGCACTTTCACCATCAAACATGTTCTTCTGTTTAAATAAAAATCCATCCACTTTCTTTCTTTTTTATTAAATCATAGCTGTGTACATTAATACTATCATGGGGCACAGTGTCCTATTTTTATATACATTTGAAATATTTTCATCAAACTGGTTAACATAGCCTTCATGTCATTTTCTTAGTTATTGTGTTAAGGCATTTATGTTCTACATTTAGAAAGATTTCTACCTTCTGGTACAAATGTTCTAAAGGTATTCTTGATTCCTCCCCTTTTTTACATTCCACATATAATAATTCTCTAAGCTTTATTGTCCTCTCTAACTTAGGTCAGGCTCTGATCATTTTTCACTTTGAATAACTACAACAGTCTCCTAATGGCTCCTAATTTGCTATGATACTTTGCACAGGTTACTTCTCTAAGCCTGACTTTCTCAACACGAAACATATTATTATCTTTAACTCATAAAGTTACCATAGGAATTACCGTATTTCCCCGAAAATAAGACCTACCCCCAAAATGAGCCCTAGCAGGATTTCTATGCATTTGTTAAATATAAGCCCTACCCTGAGACATAGTGATGGGTGTGGCTATGCATAGTGTATCTGCACAGCCATGCCATGCATTTTGGTGTGGAGAGGAAGACATCCCCTGAAAATAAGCCATAGTGTGTCTTCTAGAGAAAAAATAAATATAAGACGATGTCTTATTTTCAGGGAAACACAGTAAATGAGTTACTGGATGTAAAATACTCAACACAGTAAATAAATACTCCACAAATGTCTGAATTGTCTCAAATTACACTGATTTCAGTCTCATCCCCCATTTTTTCCATACTCCAACATGTAAAACTTAAATTCCTCTTCAATGCATCTTATTGCTTTTATGTGAAAACAGGAGCAGAATAGGGGAAATTTCTGCCTCACATAATTATGTTCACTGTAATAATCTACTTTTGAAAAATTTAAATTCAAATGAGAAGACAGATGCTGAAAAGTCATTGAAGCTTACTAGTAGTAATGTGATGGTGAAAAGCCACTGCCCCCTCCAAACGGCTCTGGTTTTGCCTTTCTGAAGTTTGTTTATTCAGCTTTTCCTTCTATCTATCTTATGAGCTGCCCTCGTATTATTCCCAAAATAACTTTTCTTTAGTTTATGTTAAGAAAAAATTTACTTCCTGCCACTAAGATTCCAGCCTCATACCTTTAAGTTCTTTCATTTTATATAACCTCTGGAATAGATTTTCTTAATTTTTGTTATTCTCCAAAGACCTACCACTTTGATTTTAAGGATTTTTTAAAGTACCAATTATGATAAAATAGCTATTATTATGAAGAAAAACATACAATGACAAAAAAGTAAGGAAGTTAAAAGTTCAAAAAAATTTCAAAAAATATACAGCAAACTATTAATAATAGTAAACTTGTCTTTGTTGAACTGTAATTAGAACATTTGCCAAACCTCCTCACAATCACCTAGCTTCTTCAGAAAGAAAGAAGTTATATTTTATATTAACTTCTTTCTTAAGTTCTTTATATTAACTTCAAGTTTATATTTCCAGAGAAGCTCCTCTTTAAATTGATGTTTTATTTTTAAGGCTGTAACTCAGAAACTTTCTTTTCTTCCCTTCACTTATAAAATTCTAGAGGAAAACAACTAAATAAACTCTACAAATTAGTAAGGATGGAACAAGATACATGAGCTATTGCTTCTAGACCCAAGTGGAACTCATATTCTCCTAAACTATTCCAAAAGATAGTTCTCCAATAATAAACTTCATCTGCTCTGTCTAAGAACACTTTGGTTATTCTCTAAACTGGAGAGGGAATGGAATAAAGGAAGTAAAGAGTATAGGAATTACAGGTGGCCCTCTGAATCTGAGGTTTTGTATCTCTGGATTTAACCAACCATGGCTTGAAAATATTTAAAAAGTAACAATACTATATAACAACAACACATAATACAAATATAACAAATTCAGAATAATGCTATTTACATAGTATTTGTATGTACTGGGTATTACAAGTAATCTAAAGATTATTAAAGTATATGGGAGTATCTATTCAGATATCCAAAGTATCTAAATTATATGGGAGAATATGCAAACACTACACCATTTTATAGAAGGTACTTGAGCATCTCTGCATTTTGATATCCACAGGAAATGTGAAAAAAGTAGAGTATGAAGAAGGTAGAGGAATGCCTGGGACCAATCCTTGGCAGATACCAAAGGACAACTGTATTGTCCAAGTGGAACAGAGAATCTGTTCCAGAGATGGAACAATATCAACAGGAATAGAATAAGATTTCTGAGAAAAACCTTATTTGAAGAGTTTCATTAAGTATGCTAAAAATAATATCCTTAGTAAAACAAGGCAAAATAATAATATCCTTAGTGCCATCAAACACAGTCCTTTGGCCAAAAATAAAAAATACTACCCACTAATCCACATACCCACAGTACAAAGCATTATTCTAGGTATTTGGGATTCAGTGCTAAACAAGGCAAGACCTTATTACAATGAGACATTATGAAAAGTTATCAACAGAATAAGAAAATTATCAACTGAACAATTTCAAGTTATTTCACATATTAAGACTATAGAGTGGACATCACCAAAATGGAGTAGAAGCTATCTGGCTTTGCTATTGCCACAAAAAGCCAAAGCAAATGTCCAATGCTAAGACGATTACATCACCAGTAATGTCCCAGAACTCAAATCTGAGAGTGAGATAATCCCCAGGACAATAGATGAGTGAAAAATTCTGAGGAGACAGTAGAAGAAAAATTCTGAGAAGACAATAGAAATTGAACTTCTGCATTTGTGATGCCCCTTCCCCGTGCTTCTGGGTACCCTGTAGAAAATTCCTCTTGGAATCCTGGTTTCTGCACTGAAAAGAGTGAAATGGAGGTGGATTTCCAGCTTTCCCAACATCTTGGATTCCTTCACAGGCAAATGTTGTATCTCAATCCTGGGAAGTATGGTGAGTGCCTGCAGGAAGATAAGCCTCTGAGGGCAGCTTGAGACAAATTGGGGAAGTGGGATTTGACATCTTAGCATGTGAAATTGTACTTTTTATTTCAACCAAAGATGTCAAACCAGAGTTCAGCAGCAGTTTAGCTCAAGGAGGCATGCTCCACAGGTACCTTGGGCAGGAATACCTAGTCAGCCTTCTCACATGGCCAGGTATTATTCCCTTTGGTGGCCCCTCTGCCACTCTCAACCTGGGATGGGTAGCACTGTAAACACTTATAAGAGCCCAGACAAACCTGAGCGTAAAGCATCATCTAGTTCTGAAAAGGAGTCAATGATCTAGGGTTAAGGAAATTTAACAAGTAGATTATAAAGAACCTCTGAGCAAATACACCCAAGGAGAACCAAAACAAACAGGAAAAACTGGAATAAGTAACGAATCTTTCTTTTATTCTTTTTCCTGACAGAGTCTCAGTTTGTCATGTTCAGTAGAATGCCCTGGCATCACAGCTCACAGCAACCTTAAACTTTTAGGCTTAAGTGATTCTTTTGCTCAGCCTCAGTTGGAACTATAGGCACCCACCATAATGTCTGGCCACTTTTTTTTTAGAGACGAGGTCTCACTCTGGCTCAGGCTGGTCTCAAACTCCTGGGGTCAGGCAATCCAACTGCCTTGCATGAGCCACTGCGCCCAGCCAATAACAAATCTTTCGATGTAAAGACAATAATGTATGTCCACAAGAAACAACAGCAAACAGAGAACCATGATGTCTCCAAGTAAGTGAAGGAAGACATCAGTAACCAATTCTAAAGAGATATAATATGTGAGCTCACACATTAAGAATTAAAAATAGAAGTTCTAAGGAAACCAAGCAACTCCCAAGATAACATGGAAAAACAATTCAAAAATTTATCAAAGATTTATCAAAGAGATTGAAATAATAAAAAAAAACAAAACATGAATCCTAAAACTTAGAAATATATGTGCTGAACTGAAAAATGCATCAGAGGCTCTCAGTAGAATGGATCAAGGAGAAGAAACAATCAGTGAGCCTGAAGTAACTAAAAGAAAACTTATGAGAAATGATTCATAATTTTGGTCTGGGGATTTTTTTGGGTAAAACCTCAAAAGCATAAGCATAAGATTTTTTTGGGTAAAACCTCAAAAGCATAAGCAACAAAACCCAAACTATATCAAGCTATAAAGCTTCTACATAGCAAAGGAAGCAATTGACAAAGTAAACAATTTAAAGAATGGGAGGCAATATTTACACACTATCCACCCAACAAAGGATAACTGGGATACATATAGAACTTAAAAAAAACCAAATACAGAAGAACCACCACAGTTGACCACTTCTGTACAATGACCACCTAAAGTTGACCTAATTTTCATACAGTGGATACAAACCACATGTTATCAATGAAGATAACTTCTTCAATACTGAAAGTTGTATCCTGACTACTTGGACCACGACCAATAATATTAATTTACTTTCTATAACTTAACATTGAGTCCACTCTACACCAAGGGGTAGAAGGTGTGGGCTTTGGCACTTAGTTGTATTATTTTTTTTCTTTAGTATAAGTTCTTTTTTCATGTTTTATTATTATCTAATATATTTAGAGGCCTAATATCTTATTGTTTAAACCCATGTTGCAGAAGATTTTCTTTTCCAATGTGAGGTTCTGATCTGAATTGTATACACAGCCTACAATTACCAAAAAATTTATTGAGATATGATGGCCCAAAGGAAAGAACCCAAAGAGATAACATTGAAGGAAAAGGTTGATCATCTACACTTTATGAAAAGCAGAAGCCAAAGAGAGATGGTGGAACATTTTGGTGTTAGCAAGACCACAGTTAGCAACATTCAAAAACACAAACATGAGACCTTGGAGAGATAAGGTGAATAAAGTGGAGACCTACAGCAGAAAAGGAGAAAAATTTCCCTCAATGAAGTCAATGA